CCGGTTTATAAACTTTAAGAATTTTCCTTAACATACAACTAAAGTGCATGCATGTTCATGTGCCCATCTGGGTCTTTCTGACGACTCGATCATATTGAGAAAACGTGTCAGACTACTCGTATGCAGCGAAAGGAAACTGCAACTAAAATAAAGGAAGCAGAATTGTCGTCTTTATAACTTAAATTATAATCCCTTCAGTCAGGACCACAACGGGCTTTTGTGATGAAAAGCTAGAAAAATTCATTAAAAGTTGAAAACTTCTATTGATTGAGGTAAGAGCCTTTCCCATACTGTAAAAACACCAAGAGTTAAAAAAGATTGAAATTTATATGGCCTGAGTTGTTGGAAATTGTGCTTAAAGTTCGAAGGTAACGGAAGCAGACGAATAAAAGCTCTCTTGTTCAATATTGAAGTAAAGATTTTCTAAAAAAAAGATAACTATAAACAATTAATAGTTTTTGAATAAAAAGGACCTCATCACAGGTGATGTATAGTTGTTATTGATAAAAAATGGAAAATAATGTACTTAATTAGTTTATTGTACCATTTAAGCAGATTAGGTTTTCATTAGCGATCAAGACGTTAACCAGGCCGCCTATTTTACAAAGCAAGCACCGCTGAAATAGTATGTGATCAATAGTAGGTGAATCGACCTATAGACATAATTTTCCCAACAAAGGCGAAGTGAAAAAAGCAAGCTGATACAAGGGATATTCCGGGCAGGTAACAGAAAAAGTAGTACTAAGACTAAAAGTTTAAATAGTAAGGGCTGCACAATGCCTTATCAGAAGAGTAGTGAGCGCACGATACAGGGCAGCATGTGCGAATTGACTCAGACACTCACTGACCTCTATGTGTACAAGCAGCCGAGAGACCACGCTTATAGTGCATCGAAGCAAGCCAGCGCCACCCGTCGTCCCGTTGAGCGATATCAAGTACGCCAACAGTGTTAAGACGCTCACTTCCGTCAAACCCACCAATGACGTAGACACATGTACCTAGAGAACACGCAGCCACATAACGATAGCTGATGGGTAAATTCTAGAAACGAATAAGAACAGAATAATATCCGTATATATGTAACTTATTTCGATCGGAAAGAAATGGACCAAGAAATATTTGTGAAAATTCAGCAAGCCTCAAGTTTCACTTAAGAATAATACACAGAGAAAAATGGTGTGATCTTTAGTTTGATTGTAGTCTCCTTCCATTCTATAAGGATGGTTTGACCTCGTTTTCGCAACTTAAGTGTATTTGCAAGGAGTCTGAGTAAAGCTTACTTCGAAACGTGTTCTCTGCAACTGTTTTAGGGTTCCTAGAGAATCGGTTCTAATGTACCCATTGAATAGTTAAGAGATGGGGGGGCACAATAAAACAACAGCAGAGGATAGTGTAAAGAGTGAGCCATTCGAAGCCTCCCTTGAAAAGAGGTCAAACCAATTAACCACTCGGGAATATTGAAAAATAATTAAATTCGATTAACATGTTTCAAATGAGAATAGTAAAATGAAGATGCAAATTTGTTTTTAAAAAAAGCCCCAAAAGGAAAGACGAATTTTGAAGTACGCAAAAATAATAAATTAGTTGCACGTGAAAGGGGAATTTTACTAAGCCTCATTATACATTAAATACCGCTTCAGTTGAATATAAATATCAAAAAATAAAATATTACTGAGCAAAATTACATCCTAAATCTAGTAAAAACAAGATTAGCATTGCCTAAGTTTTAGACCATGCAATACAGCTAACGTCAGGAGCCAGGTATATATAGTTAATTGTATCATCAGAAAAGTTAATCATAAAACGAGGAAAATAAGTATATGCGTAATAATGCATGGAAAGTAACTCTCAATTTTGAGTGGTAACAAGCGAAAGATGTAGACTCCAATTAAGATGCAGTAGGCTCACGAAAATGTATTATCAAAGTTTATGAAGCAGTATTGGAGGTACAAAGTTAGAAAATAATGATTAAAATAATATATATTGTAAACATTAAATAGTAGACCTACAGGTAATGTATTCCAGTCACATGTTCTCGGATTAAACATCTCCACTGAATCAGAAGGGCTCTGACCTGCACCGAATCCACCAATAACAACAAGATACTCTTCACCTCCATCGCGTTGATGATATCGAGCATCTCTCATTTCATGACGTAAGTCAGGCCTGAGATAAAAGCGCTTAGCGTCGTCTACAAGATCACGGCATTCTAGAGAGTTTCTGATAAGCACCTAAAATAAAAGAATTAGCAAAAGAAATAAGAAAATCGCAAGTTGGACAATCAAATATTAAATGATAATTGCCTCTTTGTCCACATCATCAGTTAGGAAACGAACAGACATAACTGAAAGTCTGATGCGTCGTAGGAGAGCAGCCAACTTTGAAGCACGCTCATTCACATCGTTATATACCCAGCGAATAACGGCGCGGTAAACGGTCTCTTCATTATCGATCTTAATAAAAGAAAACAAAATACAGCTAGAATCATATTGATGAGTTCGGATAAAGATAGTCTGAGAAATCCGAGCATCTCTCGCGAAAATCAATCTACATTAAGAAGTACCTATCAAAAAAGAATAAAAGAAAGCAAACGCCGAAAGAAACGGAAGATACATCAGAAATATGCATACCATAATTTGCACGAAAACGCGTTTAAAATGTTTGTCATCGACAATTGGAGACTTGATTGGAGTTCGTCACCCAAAAAGGTGTTTATCATATATATATATATATGAGGCATAGTATGCCATGATTGTTTTAAAGCTCGAAAGAGTGACAAGTAGCCCTTGATAAATGACACTTCAGCTGAGGCAGATAACTTGTAAAGGAATGATATTCATAATTAGATTTAAAAATTAACAGTAGGACTATTCGCCCTAATTTTCAAAAGATGAAAAGACTAATAGTTAAGCTTGCTCTTAATTCTACGAATGCTCGACAAATGTTCCTTAGCCTCGCCAAAATGCACCGGTGTATCCATCTCGATTTAGCCTAAAGGATCCCCAGAGTTAAGCAAGTCAGTTTTGAGGAGAATAATTCCGAAATGTCACCAATATATAGTGAAAAGATAGCGGGATTGGATCACACGGCTGAATAAGGTTCGAGGCAGACCAATTTTGCATTTCATATGGATTAAGCTTGTATTTTGCAATCGCGATTGACAAAGTTACTTATATTCAATAATAGTAAGCCTCAGTTCTATTAGTAGAACTTTAAGAATTGTATAGGAGATTAATGCAAGCCTGAGACAAATCGATATGAATGAAAATATCCACCTATAAGCTTTTGAGCACCTTTGATGAGAATACAGTTAGCATTTTTAAAAATCTCATGCCATAATTGCTCTCAATCGTATACTGTACCAAAAGATATTTTAGTACACATTAATAAAGTTTTAAGAGTAGCAAATATAAACATGGCCTTTTGATATGAAGTGAATAAATCAATTTAGATCTGCAATGTAGGCCAACATATC